CGCACCGCGCTCTGGGAGGTCTCTCGGCGCAGCCTCCGGTGGCGTCGTGCTCAGGCCCGGCCCTGCGAGCGGTAACGCCTGTACACCTCGGCCGCCCCCCGACGGGGGAAGACCCCGCTCCTCGCGATGCTGCAGCCGACCCTGAGAGTGCCGGCATCCAGCCACCCCGCTACCGACGGTGCCATGAGTCAGACCTTACAGTCAAGTGCAGGCTTGGGATTTGAAGTGTAACCCTCATTGCTGCATCATTATTCGCACCTCAAAATGTGATAAACTGCTGCAGCCGTATGTGCACGGATGTAAGCAAGCATATTTAAGATTATTCAAAACAGTTATATCACTGATGACAACGTAGCATTTTGGGTTGGCCTAAGTTCACTGAAGGGTATACTCATTTAGACACGCTCTCAAAATACCGTTTCCATATTTGTGTACCACCACAGGAGCAGAGTTTAAAAGGCTTTGAAATTAACTACAAGTTTTTTTCAGTTCTGGATCTGAAACAGCTCAAACAGACCTGGCTTGCTGGTGACCAGAAGCCATTACAATCCAGTGACTGACTAGCGGCTGGGATTAAATGAGCTGGCTGTAGGTAAACGCAAACTGTATCAATTAGGATTGCTATTGGCACTGTTAAGCAGCAAAATGTCAAAGCATTAGGCTCCACGGAGGTCTTGATTTGACTTCATTGGCGCATTACTGTAGGCACCATCTAAAACTGAGCTTCAGCCTGCAAATGCTGTTGCAGCGCCAAGGGACCAGGTAATTGAGGAACGTCCCTACAGCTACTCCTCTTGCTGGGTCAGAGAGAGAAGGGCAAGCAGAGAAGGCTGTGAGCTTCGGTGGCAGAGGGAGATGGGAGAGAGGTCCCAGTTCACAGGCCCTACCAGTGCTCCCTGCTGAGCTCCAGCTCTGACAGGCTCAGGTGCTTCTACATCCTCCAGCCCAGTTGTTCCCCAGATACCTGCATTCATTTACATGCTCAGGAGCTGCTAGGCAGACGGTCCCATCAATATTTCTCAAGTCAGATGTCTCCATCTTTAAGACCTTTAATACTTTATTTACCATCTTTTTATCCGGTCTTGACGACACCAGAAATCCAGCCTCCTGCAGCCACCTGCATGCCCCAGGTGTCCTCCGATATCCCACCGCGTAGCCACGCATCCCTACGAACACACATACCCTGGTTTTGTAACTGCCACCTAACTATTGTCTCATCCTGGCCCACATGCCAAAACTGTCGCTATCTGCGACTCCACATCCTTCCTGGTCACCGCTGGAGGCAGGATGTGTTAAACATAAGCCAAAGTTTGTGTTCATATACAAATTGTATGCAAATGTGCAGATTGTTTCCTTATGTTATTTGCATATTTCTAACTAATTTGTACAGAATGGCACATGCAGCTGCACAAACTTAGCATCTATATAATATCTTTCATATGGTTCTAAGATTAAAATAGAATTGGAAACAAAGATTTCTAATTAATGCTGGTGTCCTATTGGCCTTTAGTGACCCAAATGTTCTCTACAGCAGAGGTTTGACAAAAGTTGCGTTGATCTTTATCTGTCCCAATCTCTTGATATGGGTCAAAGATACAGAAGTGAAGAATTGCTATCATACATTATGATTTAATATTACACGGCCAGGGTGACACACTTCTAAATTCAAAACCTGATTCCAGCATGTGCTATCTGAGCCTTTAGTGAAGTAACTTAAGACACTGTAGCACTACAACCCCCACAGCGCCCTGCCAGCCTGCCTCCAGGCAGCTTCACCTTAGAAGTGGCACTTTTTGCAGCCTCCAAAATTACTTTTTTCATACATTTTTCAAATGTTAAAAGCTCCAGTAAATCTTAATCATGTAAATTTAGCATTTTTTCTCTTTCGAGTAGTGACATTTCTCATTTCAAACCTGGCCATCCTATTGCAAAGATGTTTCTTTTATCCTTCCTATTCATGCTTTTTACACAAATATCCAGCTGCTTATCAAATAATCATTTCTTCATGTTTGAATTTTATGTTCACATTTATTATGTTATCGCTCGTGATTTTCAGTGGCTGTGGCCTCCACAGATATGACCCACATTTCATTTGCTTGATACTCAAATGTAACATTGTTTTCAAGATTTCAAAATTAGTATTTAAAAGAAGAAAATAAATAATAGTTGTAAAAATATAAAGATGATCTAAGCCCAGTGTAGGAGATGATACATTATGTAGTCTTTCCACGGCATTGACAGTGAACTTGGAAGGCTGCTGTTTTTCTTCATTTAGAGTGTAGTAGGTCGTATGAAGACCTGAGGAAAAAAAAACAAGAACAACAATTTCATACAGAAGTGCAATTATTTCGTATTACAGCAGTGTCTTCAAAGGGTCATAAGTACACTGTGATCATTCCTTGCCTTTCCTTAACTCTGAGACCTGTGCAAACGTTTTGGGGAAAGGTGTTCAAGAAATAATAAGCTTTAGTCCTCAAGCCCTAGCTATACCTCCGTTAGTGCTATTTGTAAGCGAATGCAAGGTTGACGAAAGGTATTCATCTGATAGCAAAGCGGTCTATAACTAAACACTATTCCTTCAGCAGCAATTAAAGCACCACCAGAGAACCTCGTCAGTCTGGCTCCAGCAGCTCTGACCGAGGAATGACTAACCAGGTCACTTCTGGTAAACGCTATGAGCGTTCATTTCCTTCCTGCCCGCTGAGATTGTATGTTACTTCAAGGCGTGTGCACGAAGTGAACTAAGACCACCAGTCTCCATCCAGGTGGCAGCATTACTGGTAATCCTGTTTTCTTCAGCAGTCTCCCAGCCCCAGCACTACTAATTTTATTTGTAACAGTAAGAATCAATGAATAAAATATTTAATAATTTCTTGTAGCTAAGCAGAAAGTCTTTGGAATGATGTTATTTCTTCTTAAAGCGAAGTTACCCAGCTTTTTAGTAGTTTTAAAGTTCTTAGTTAAAAAACATTCAGTCTATTTCAATACTGTTTCCTTTTAAACCAAAGTTAAGCAAGACCTGGTCTGGGAAAAAAACAGCATATTTCCAGATGTTATACTACACTATGCGGTGTGGGTGTTAAGTTTTAAAAGATAGATATTAGTAATGTCACTAAGCACTTTTTCAGCTGATAAATGATCTGACTAGATCAAAATAACTGCAGCCAGTCTGTAACATGTCTGGTTTTGTTTAAAATGACACCATCTAGATCAGAAGCTGATTTAGGAGCCAGAAAGCAAAGAGTATTAATAAATGATCATTTTGTACATATGGTAAATAGCAAGTGTCTCCAATTTTCCACACTATGAATGAGCTTGTTAAATATATTTATTATTTCTTTGAGAACGGATCAGTCTGCAGAACAACAAGTTTCACATGTGAGTTAGTGATTTATGTTAGTCAAGACCTTACACAATTTCAACGGGATGTAGCTAAGTTTGATGGCAGCTGGTGGCAAATAGTAGTATAATGGCGATTTGATCTGGAAAGGTTGTTTTTTGGATGGTTTAACATAGAATCATAGAATCATTTAGGTTGGAAAAGACCTTTAAGATTATCGAGTCCAACCGTAAACCTAACACTGCCAAGTCCACCACATTTGTGTCCCTCACAAGTATATAAGCTTACTGTTACAATAAGGAATGAAATATTTCAGTGACTTTAGCTACGTCTATACTTCCCAAAACGCTTTGGGTTCAATCCCAAATTCCCCTGTCGCCCTGCTGCCTCCCTGCTGGCTCTCAGACTGCTTCTCATCTGCAATGACCCGAACGTCGGCCCAGAAAGGGAAGTTCAGTCTCTGCAAGGAGGGGAACCGCCTTGAACCACACGGCTGCGAGAGCAAGAGTTCAAATTCAAGCACGGTTGCCAAGAGCATGGTAGCTATAGCCACTGCGAAGCACTCACTGAACATCCCTGGTCAATTGTTTTTACCACTGAATGCAAATAAAAAAATAAGGTATGATTACAACAAGGAGTGGCATTCACTTCTAGTTGGTCTATGAAGTATATTGTTGATGCAGGGTGAGATAAGCGATGAGAATCATCAGGGGCATGGGAAATTTCTTACATGAAGAAAGATTAAAAGGATTAAGAATTTGTCTTACAAAGGAGATGTATAATATGGGACATGACCACAGTATATACTAGGGAATGGCTCAGAAATAGCCATTGCTTTTTTCCCTCATAGTAAAAGAGGAAATTCCTTGAAATTGAAAGAAGGCAAATTTTAAACTGATAAAAGTAAACAATCTTCATTCAGCAGAGAATTAGACTGTAAAATTCACTGCCGGAAGAAATGATCGCGGCCAAAAACTTAGCAGCATTCAAACAGTTTAGATACTTGTGTAGATGACAAGAATACTTGATCACAGTAAGTAATTAAAATCCATATAAAGTTCTGCAAGGTATGGAACTCTTCATGTTAGTGATTCAATCTACTTTTAACTGCTACAGGTGGCTGACAGGATAAATTAATGGGAGCTGCAGACATAAGGAAGAGGCAAAACAGAAGGCTGTCATTATGACTCGGTTGAATATGATGCACATGTCTGCGCTAAAGCATATTATAATGACCCACATACATGTCTAATGGCAGCATTCTGTTGTATATGATCATGCACATCAGTTTAGCAAGGACTTTAAAAAGTTTGTCATGGATCCTGGCTACTACCATAAACTGTCTTCACCAATACGTCTGTGGTGAGGTATATTTATTGAACATAAGGATGCAGTCAAGTTTCCAGTAACACCAGCGGGATCTTTTTCTGTTGCCTCTGTAGGAAAAACTAACTTAGATTCTGGAAAATATCTTTTAAGAAACATTACACAAGTGTCAAAGCAGGGCAAATACAGTTTGAAAAGTCCCTCACTTTTCCGGATAAAGCAATTCGTGATACAAATCTGACCGGGACATTCCATGACTGATCTCTTCATATAGCCCTTAAATTAAAAACAAATGCAGACACATGTATGCTTGTGGAAGACATAATTATAGTTGGTTTGTTGGGAAGACAGCTTGTTAAACTCTAAACATTATCTTAGAATTACTCTGATTTTGTTTTCTCTGTTCGGCACTTTTAAATTTTGGGGACCTGCCTTTGGCAAACCCAACTATATATGCTGGGCAGAGCAGACTGAATATGTTGTCAAGAAAACTTCATATGCTAGTCTCTCAGAGACTTATTTTTTGCCCTTTCTAGTTACTGACCTAAAAAAAAAAAGCTGTCCTAGAGGGGGGCAGGGGGGAATTCCCTAACACATGGAAAACACAACAAAGACTTCCAGCAGAAGAATAAATTCAGACTTCCAAAAGTCATCCAGAAGAATTACTGTTTGATATTCATATATTAATTGAGGCTGTGGCAAACCCAGCAAATATCTATCCATTTTATTTGAAGCGCAGACTCACACATGGGGTCTGGGCAAGTCGTGGGGTATCCTGAAAGAGAAATCTCAGCTACGCGGCGTTCGTTAGGCTCATTTCGAGTACAGCCCTACTGGTGGTGTGCACAGTCTGCTGCCCCTCCGTACCATGCAGCACGGCGCATTGCCATGCCTCCACGTTGCAAGGCTGTGCCGCCGTCTGCGGTCTGTCGGCAGCCTGAGATTCGGTTACCTTTATGTGATGCAGAAGGGGCGAACTACAGGCATCCCGATGGCAGGGATGGCGTGGCCACTGAGTCAGGGAAACCCTCTATACTCACCTCTCTTGGAAATGCGCTACCTGCAAGGTTTTCCTGAATCACGTTCATTTGCACATGAGACTTAGAACTGAATCTGTACAATTGGGATATGTCAGGCTGAAAAGAGATCTGTGGTATTATGAAGTGTGACAGGGAGCATCATTAGATGAATAAGAAATGTGGCTTCATTCAGACTGATACTATACTTTGGTCTTTGACTAAAGTCTGTGTTTTCTTCCCCAAAAAATTTTTACTTTAAAGGGGTAATTCTTCATGAAATTATCAAGTCCCTCTTTATCTTTCAATCAATTCTCGTGTACTAAAGACTGAAGAATCCCGAGGCAAGTATTGCTAATTCATCCTGCAATTACAGGAAATAATGCACTTTAGAAGTTCTTTTATTTTGCTTTTCTTGCTTTGTCATCTGGTTATATTTTGTGTATCCTAGAGTCAAATGTAGTGCTGGAGCATAAAGCAGT